TTCATCGTCTTCATCAAAGGGTTCGATCTGACATCCCGGACCTCGCCTCTGGGGATCGGTATTACGGTAAAACTTTTTAAGTTGCGGATGGCCAATCAAACGCAACAATGCGGCTAACAAACTCAAACACTCGTCCGTGTTGTGCCCTGGCGATTTATGATAATCACAATACCGGTACTTGTCCAGTTTTTCTTCGGGCATCCGAAGTGGTTTGGGATCTGGTAAAATGCCCTTCCCTTTGATTTCTTCATATATGGTGGCTGCTCCTGCAGAATATACGGTTTGATAACCGGACTTCACATCGGTAGCATATTGTTTTCGGGTCGCTCGAACTTCAGGATCGTTGGGATCTCCCCGGGGAGGCCCCCTGAACTGAGTCTTGTTTTGTCTTTCAAAATATTTGTTCTTCTTCTTCTCATCGGTTCCCGCCTTAGATGGCTTTGGATTAAAGTTAAAGTCGGGGACCGACATGGCTTCCTCAGCTATAATATATTGCTGAGCTCGAGCGAGAAATTCCTGAAAAGTATTCGGTTTATTTTGGCATAGTGTCCAGCGGAAAATTGAGTTCGGTTTTAGCCCAGCGATAGCCATGACAAGCGGAGTTTCAGGATGACAGGGTTCCATATTCTGAACTCGGTCATTAAATCGGGCAATATAATCCTTGACACTTTCATCATCTTTTTGAGTGACATTTGCAAGAGATTCTTTTGGGATTAGGCAGACTTGAGCCCCGATGAAATGAGATCGGAAAGCCGACCTTAGTTGTTGCCACTTCCAAATTGAGTGAGGAGGTAGAGAATGGTACCATTTTTGGGCCTGAGGCCCCAGTGTAAGCGAAAACATACGACACCGGAGTGCGTCTGAGGCCCCATGCAGATCCATCCAAGAAGTATAATGACCGAGGTGCGAGTCAGGGTCTGACGTTCCATCATATAGGCCGATCTGGGGGGACTTTGACTTTCCCAGGTACAGGTTCCGAAGTGAGCTCCGGAGTGAGGGGAGAATCGGCTTCCAAATACACTTGCGCCGAGGTGGAGGCCCGCCGAGGGGGATCTTCAGGTGCCCGTTGCCGACTTTCCAATTCGGTGATTCTTCGTCGCAATGTTTCAAGTTCGGATGACTCTTGATGAGCCCGATTTCGTTCTATACGCTGCCGAAGGTCGGTCTGCGCCGGGTTGGAGGGGTTTCGGCGCTGTGCCTAAGGCGGTGACCGTCGTGAATGACCCGACTGGCTTTCAACGGTTTCTTCTTGAGGAAGTATAGGAGGATTGCGCCCAACGTCGGTACGACGTGTAGTTTGTTCTGGAGGTGGTTACGATGCTCCATCACGAGGTTGAGAGGTTGCGTGAGACGTAGTTCTTCCGCCGTCTCACCGCACAGGTGGATTCTGCGGATTTGCAGGAGTCGTCGGTATTATGGAGTGTCTCGGGGCAGCCGTCGACGCGTCGGGGATCGTTTGAGCCATTAAAGCGGTGAAACCTCGTGCAAATTCTGGATTTTGAAACAGAACAGTATAATCTGGTACAGGGGGAGCTATGACCTGTCTTCTGGCGGAGTGGGCAGCGTTGCGACTATGGCCATCTCGTGAAGTATTACCATGATGCTCTGAATGAGACATTATGGGTATGGTTGATCGGAATCGTTATTTGAGACACGCGGAGATTAACCTCAAATCACTTATGAGGCCCTTCCTCTAGCGCCAAACTGTTGTTATATGATTTTTAACAACGATATAACCAGCGATTGAGATGATAATTACGAACGGTTTGGACGTAAAGCATGTAACAATAACTCAACAATGTCCCCGGTCCGAGGTGAAGAGCCGTTATGGGCTTTTACGTGTTGCATATTAATGGGTTCTGGGATCCCCCGTACAAGTGTTGTAGGCAGTCTATTTATAGCAACTTTTTACGTACATCTTGGGATTTGTGCATTAGCTTTTTCATAAAGCTACTTTTTAATGGGCGGCAGGATCAGTGGGCCCCATTTGAATGATGAAAAATCTCGTAATTCGTGGCGGGGGTGCGTAGGTGCCTTGTCACCTGCTTTAAGAGGTGAGACCTCGGTTTGTTCTTAGGAGGTAGGATCTCGGTTCGCATCTACTTCGGTTTGGCAAGACTTTGGTCTTCGGTGATCCAGATCGGTTCTCTGTCCGAATTAGTACAGCTTCGGATAATGTCGGTTCGATGGTTAATTTCACTTAATATGAAGTTTAGGACTCTTAAACAATGCTTGCCGAGTTGGATGATAATATACCGATTGGGTCTTTAGTACCACTTGTAATGAACAAATGGTAGACATTTGTCATACTCCTTGTGAAGATCTTTCAAAATCATGGTAGGCTTGTATCCCGGTTCATTCCTCAATTTGTCTTTGATTGTACTTGAGACCCACATGGAGTTTGCTTTCGGATGCCCCCTTGTCCGAAGAATGGACACTCCACAAGTATGGACTAGATTGCATTTGCGGATGACAAAAAATTGATCACCTTTGTGTAATGATGCATATGTTCTCCATTCATAACCCGCATCGCTATAACAAACAATGATCTTCTGCTTGTCATTTTTTCGATCCATAAAAGACCGCTTATTTGCAATCACGTAGTTTTTAATGCTCTTACGAATTTTGTCGACTCCACTGAATATCTGTCCCTCTCTTTTGATGCAAAATCTCCAAGTATCAATCGATTTATCTTGCAACAACTCATGTTCTCCATCCGAGAAATCATCATACGGTACGATTTCCCTTCGTTCATTACAAAATAATACAAAGATTTATAAATAATGGAACTAGTTCAAAAATTAATGAAATAGGATATGATACAACTATACCATTCCATAATAAATTGATTAATATTATGAAAGCAACATTACCTGCTCATGTTCATCGGGAAGGATTGAACTTCATCATCCGGTCTTTCGTTTCTTTCAAAGGCAAGCATCTCTACAATATTTACTTTCCAACGATATGTAACCGAATCATGTTATTCATATCCTCATCATCCGACAAACTAGCTCTCTTTTTTTTCTTTGGCGCAATATAGCATAGCACGATGGAATCAAAATTAACGTTCGGACACCTCTTAGATATGAGAGTGTACACTTCGTCAAGCGTTGATCCAATGTGCATAGAGAACACAAACTATTCATTCTTGTACGTACAACTCCCTAGTAGATCACTTTGTGCCCCTTCCATGTATCTAACAATCAGTGTTTTAAATACCATACCTGTGGTCATACCGGTCAATCCACCGGTATGCGGTATTACCGATAGGACCGGTAATATCGATGGTATTACCGGATTAGTAAATATAATGATATATATAAATATGCATAAAAATATATAATATCAAAGGCAAAAAAAGTAAAAAAAATAAATGGCCATATCATTAATTTCAACTTCTCAATAAGATTAGAAATAAAAATCTTAACTACCAATTTAAATTTTTTATTTAAAATTAAAAAAAAAATTATTTTTTTTATTGACTGGTATCTCAATAAGATTAAAAATAAAAATCTTAACTACCAATTTAAATTTTTTATTTAAAATTAAAAATAAAATTATTTTTTTTATTGACCGGTATTTGGGACCGGTATTTTGCAGTTTTTACGGTATGATTCCGGTACAAACCGGTATAACCATAAATCTGGTATTTTGAGTATAGTTGTACCGTACCAATGGCCGGTATCCGGTATTACCGCTATCGGCTGGTACAGTACGGTATTTAAAACATTGCTAACAATAATTGGATAAATAAAAAAATAAAACTTCACATTCCCATAAAAATGTGATACAAGACAGTATTAAAGTGGTACTATATACATACAAACAGATGTACAATAATCAAGAATAGTGATACAATGATCATTTTTCTTGTTTTAGGGTGAAAAACACATTAAATAACTTAACAATAGCATCAATTTCGTATACATGAACAAGAACTTTTTTTGATCAATTTAATTAATTTAGGGTAAATATTAACAACAATATTCAAAATTCAATCCTCTACAAACTAACCAAAAATATATAAATTAAACATGACTTTTAGACTCCAAGATCCTCATACAATACATATATTACTTATTGCTTCAAATTTTGGCCGGAAAACCACAAATGTTGCCGGAAAAAAAATGAAAATTTTCGTCGGATTTGATGTCAGAATCACTTGTTTGGCCGGATTTGTTGCTGCCGGATTTCTTCTAGCCGGATTTAGTGTCGCCGGAGAGACCAACCTGCAAAAAAATAATAAAA